ATATATACATGGAAAGGCAGTTTCTGTGCCATTCTGTGGACGTAAGGATATGTTCTGTGAAGACCAGAGAGGTTAAAAGGTCCCCCAAGGAATCTCAGTCTGGTTCTTGTCCTCTAGGTGGGGGGAAGTCAGTCCAAAGAGCTTGTGATCGTGATTACTATCATGGATTTACATGTGATGGTCATGCTGTGCATCTCTTTGACAATCAATCTTGATTACTTGCCCCAAAATTGGCAATCTCCTTCCTGAGTTGTTATGATCAATGTGTTCTTTTGGGTTAATGTTGAAAGCTGTTCTGTGAAAGAGTTGGTTAGTTAGGCTTGCTTCAGACTGGCTGGCGCTATGATCTGATTTATGAACGTCCTGTTGTCTCATCCTGGGCCCCTTTGTGGAATTTTGCTCTTTGGGTTGTTCAACACCAATCTGATCAAATCTCAAAGTGTCTGATTTGCTCTGATACCCTACACCATGCTCTAAGACAAAGAGTCGTAAACTTTCCCTCCAAAAGTGAAAGTCACCATTGGCTCTGTGACCTCCCGGAGGTGTGAGCTCAATAGGAGATAAAGCTCTCACATCAGTGACCCGCCTCAGTCAGTCTGCGGTTCTGTTAGATTCTGAGAAGATGAGGATGTGAGCTAGAACACTTCTGCAACTCTTAAATCTGCACCAGGCTTCGGCCTTGTCTTTACATTCACCAAAGATCCTAGGAACCAAAGATCCTAGGATCTCAGCTGATGTCTCTCTTAGCTCTTTTTCACTTTCCACTGGGAAGAAACTCCCAATCACCATCGAGTCAGAACATCTTTGGAATTCATCACTCTTCAAACCCGGAAGAACATGATCGCAATCCAAAACCTTGAAACCATCAAAACTTTGATCCGAGACTGCATCCGGACACTCGTCAACGACCAAGGCAATGCAAGTATCGTACATTTAGCTAAACAAAACAGAGGTTTAGTATAAGCTGTAGACCCCATTCTAAAATAGTGCTGATGGTTTCACTCCGGTGGTTAACTGACTCTTTTCATAGCTTCATTCTTTTGGTTTTTCCTGATGGTTTCATCCATCACGCCTCATTTGCCCTTTCCCATGTATGAGTGATTGTTTGTTTGTTTGTTAGACTAGTTTGTGTTAGTGTTTAGTTAATAAAACTTTTGTGCACAAATTACATGAGTTTCAGATTCTGCCTTGCAAATTAATGTCCCTTTACGATTTTGATCCTCGCTACATGCTCTAATGAATTAATACTGTATGAACGTATTTTCTGTGGCCACATAAATATCCTTTCCTAGAGTTGATATGAACTTACACTGAATGTTCGCTGGACGAACAGATTAGTTGAAGGCAATTTAATTCTGCTACAGTTACTACTGGCAGCTGATATAAATAATTGTAATTAATCATAATTAACTGTAATTATTTATATACATTTCCCTTTTGAGCTAATTTGCTACATAAATGGTGGAGAATGCGGGCAATCGTTTAAACATTATTTGCAAGCGGACTCAGTATCAAACTTGTGTATTTGTCTCATACATTTTATTAACATCTTACACATGCATACCAGCTTCTGATAAACTCAGATAAACTATAGCTTGAATGTGCTGTTGAATGTTCCTATGAGCAGTAGAAAGTTTTCAGTGCTATAATGCGTTTAAATCGTACGATAAGAAACTAACCTGATTTTATCGAAGAAATCCTCATTTCTGTTGTTAGTAGAGCGTAAGCCTTATCTGACAAAGAAATCTCAAATTAGCAGCCCATATAAATGGTACCAGAATAAATTAATCTGTTATTGGGCGAAGAAATCCCCACTTTCAGTTTTAAATGCATAAGTCTTCAGTCTGACGAAGAAATCTCAGATTAGCGGCATGAATTAATCTCCGTGGTGACGAAATCCCACTGGCAGTGATATTAAATCTGGGCGACGAAGAAATCTCGCTGCAGTATATTTACTTTTAATAGTGATTAGAGCGATGTTCCTCATCTCCCTGAATTAAGGTCTTCTTGTGTCTATCGCGTATCATTTTAGTCATTAGGGCTGTCAAAAAATTTTTTAATTTCGAATATTCGTCGAATTTATATTTTATTTTAATTTACTGACTGCGTCAGCCGTCAGGCAGCCTTATCAGTGGCGCACGAGATGCGGAGAGTGGCATGTTTAGAAAGCCATGTAAAATTACCGTATTTAGTTAAATCTTACTGTAGTCTTCAAATCTGGGTACTGTCTTATGTTTTAAAATCACAAAGGGAGTTTGGTCCCATCAGGGTAACGTGACAGTCACGACTCGTGCAGCTGTAAGGTTTTCTTTCTCTTTTGTTTTCACTCGCGATCTTTACAACACACATTACATTATGTAATTCATGGCACACTCATTTTATGCGTATTTGGCACCACCTATTGTTGTGGGTGTATTATTGACATGTCAAAGTCTAGACCCTGAATATAAGACGACCGCGTTTTTTCAGATGTATTTCCAAGAAAAACACATCGTCTTATATTCGGGACAATACGGTAATGCAAGCAACGTGCATACTATTTTGCTCGATGCGCCCTCGTGTGGCCTCAGGAGAGAAGTCAAAAGCTTTTTTCCCCCTAACTGAAATTATGCCTTTTAAATTCTAATATCATTCGAATTTTGATAATATTTAAGTAGAAAATTCGAATTTAGTTTTTCAGTCATTTTGACAGCCCTAGTAGTCATTACGGTGATGCAATTGAATAGCGAATTAATGGTGTAATTCTAGCCTAGCTAACTAGTAATTCACCATTGTCTGTGAAGTGAATGTGCTGTTTTGATTTGAGAATGCAGTTGTATGTGACACGTCATAACTGACTGCGCTTAAGTTTCCCATGCATATTTACAGCAGCGCAAGTTCTGCTCCATTTGCATGTGTTGTAAGCTTGCATCGGTCTCTTAGCAACGTTTGACCCTGGGAGGTGCGAGCAGGCTCTTCCGGTTCAATCTGATAACAGCACACACGTCACAGACCTTTGTGTAAACAAAGAACTGCGTGTAGCCAACGCTAACTCTTTAGCAGCCATACAGGCTAAGCTAAGCCCTTTACCTCAACTGCTAGCTAGCTGTTAGCATCCGACTAACACTTAGGTGTGAGTGTAAAGTGTAACTTTCAAACCACTTCTCTCTCTCTCTCTCTCTCTCTCCCCTCACTCCTGGTTCACTTCCTGTTTATGCTATCATCTTCTCTTTGGATTCAGTTAGGTCGGTCCCTCCCCACATACTTTGGTTTTATTTATATTGTTTTTATTTTGACTTCATTCTGCCTCTTTGATTTTATTTTCATTAATTTACCTTTGTTTAGCTTGAACGTACCCATTCAGCTAAACTGATTTAATTAAATCTGAGATTTAAATAA